GCATTGAAACGTGGGTTCGTCTCCCTCGAAACAGATGGCCTAAAGGATGGTCTGGGTATGAAGATCCTGTTTGCCCACTCAGGCTCGCTTTGTACGGCCACCCTGACTCAGGTGGTATCTGGGAAAGGTACTGTACAGAACAGTTAGAGAGTGTTGGTTTTACTGCAGTTCTACCCGACATTTGGCATTCTGTTTTCTACCATGCTGAACTAGATTTGTTGCTTGTTGTGTACGTTGATGACTTCAAGATGGCCGGCCCCCAAGACAAAATCAACAAAGGTTGGGAGTTGATCGCTAAGGTGATTGACATGGAACCAGCCGAGGTCTTGGGGCGGTACTTCGGGTGTCATCACGTTGAGCAAAATCAGGTCCAGCTTTCACGGGAGGACCACCCATTTGCTTACGTCTTCGACAAGAAGCACGCTAGCCCAGCTGCCGACTACCAAGTCCGGCCGAACCGCAAAGAGGACTTCTGGGAGGTCGACGCTGAGTTAGCTGCAGTCGTTAGGCATCACATCTATCCTCGTAGGAAACTTTATGTGCCTACGCAGGACGACGTGTCGAAATTTCCCCACATAAGCCGTCAACGAATCACGGTGTTTGATGATGGTAGGGACCCTATCCATGATGACTTGAATCAGGGGGGCCCCGCGGACCAATCAGGTTGGTGGACTGGGAGAACATATTTCCCCATCACTGAGGTCAGTGACGAGGACTTTTCTCATGCTCTCGCAGCTAAGCACAATAAACCCAAGCGGTCCAAAGCCGAAGCTAAACGAGAAGCACGACAGAGTAAGTTCAAGAGCACTGAATCAATCAGTCAGGGAAAAACCCCTTCCATGACTGTGCCCGTGAACGTTGTGTACTACGACATGCGAGATTTCTTGGTGTCCTGTGTTGATAGGTACTGTGAGTTGGCCAAGGTCGACAAGAAATCCCTGAAGCACGTAGCGACTCCTTTTCATGAGAACCGGGTAGCAAAAGTTCTGGAGAACAATGAACCTAGTGGTAAGCTGCAACCTATTGCTAGCCGCGTACTCATGAAGGTTTTGTTCGCTGCGAGAATGGCCAGGTGGGACTTGTTACGCGCCACTCAGGCACTGGCATCCAGAGTCACCAAGTGGTCTCGCGACTGTGACGTTGCTTTGCACAGGTTGATCAGTTACATAAACTCTTCTCTTGAAGTTCGGATGAGGGGATTCATAGGGGATCGCATTCAGGATTGTAAGTTGTGGATGTTCTGCGATGCTGACCACGCTGGTAGCCACGACAGTAAATCCACTTCAGGCTGTGCCCTTTACTTGGTTGGCCCCAATACTTACTTTCCCCTAAATGCTTTTTCCAAGAAACAGACCAGCATCACTACTTCAAGTACGGAGAGTGAGGTTGTGGCTGCCAACCAAGGTATTCGTGCCCAGGGTCTGCCCAGCCTCAGTCTTTGGATTTTCCTGTGGCGTGAGGTTGCGAGTAGGACCGCCAGCTACCAAGCTAGGCCGAAAACCAAACCTAACCAAAGGGAAAACGACATCATCGCACGAATTGATCCTGAACTTGATGAGATCCGTTATGGTGAGTGTAGGGCGGATGGACGAAGCGTTTCCGATTTAAACGGTCTCAAGGTCCACCTTAGCCCCAAGTTTGCTGTTCAACTCCTTGAGGACAACCAAGCTACCATCACTATTCTCCTCAAAGGTGACAGCGAAAAACTACGTCACACCGATCGGACTCAACGCATTTCGTTTGCTTGGATCAAACAACAGTTCGAGCGTAACTTCTTCGAAATGATTAATGTTGACACCAAAGAGCAAGTAGCTGATATCTTTACCAAACCTTTCGCTGACCGAGGTAAATGGGAACATGCTCTAAGGCTCATCGCGCACGTCGATGCCCCTCTTCAGGGGGGACGGCAATCTAAGGCACACGAGTCCGATGCTCATCTCATCAACAAGCCTGTCGTTCATGCTCACCCTGTGGTGAAGCCGTCGGGCGATCCTTGCGCAGTCGCAGCTGAGCTTACCAAGGACCGTGACTTCAGTACTAAGGCTTTGTTGCGTGTAGCCCAGATCATGTACCCCAACAAAACCAAGCGAAAGATGATTAAGCTTGACAATCGCAGCTACTACCATATCTTTGGGCAGTGGTCTTACGGAGGAATGCAAGGGGTGACTAAGGCAACACGTCGGTGGCCTCAGATTGCCCGCTTCCTAAATGGAGTTGTGCAAGCCCATGCTCCTAAGGACTTCACATGGAACTCGGTGCTGCTTAATAGCTGTACTAGTGCCTCTGTGCACAAGGACCATGGGAATGCTAAGGATAGCATGAGCTTTGCCCTCAGTGTCGGGGATTTCAAGGATGGTGAACTGTGGTTTGCGGACCCCCTTGTTCCATCTGAAGATGCTATTGTTAGGGTCGGGCCAAATGGTAAGCGCCTTAAGGGTCGTGCTGTGTCCACCCTGAACAAAGCCATCATTTTTGATCCGCGAAAATTACACTGTGTGTTACCTTTCACTGGAACACGTTTCTCCATTGTTGCGTACACCTCCCGATCCCAAGACGCACTGCAAGATCAAGAGCTCAATTCTTTGAAGACGCTTGGATTCAGGCTGCCCCCACGTGCGGCCAGCGCTGCTTCTGCCCGAGAATACTCGAGGCCGTTGGGGTTCAAACGAATCATAGTCGAGTTTTGTTGCTCCCCCAACAGCAAACTAGGGCAGGATCGTAGCGCAAGTCAAGGATGTTATGTGTTGCGAGTCACCAGTGAGGATGATGTCTTGAAAGACTCTACATTGACTTCAGTTGTTCAGAAAATTAGTACCCTCTGCGACGAGGGGGGAGCATCTAAGCCAATTTTAGTTTATGCGTCGCTTCCGTGTACTGGTGGTTGTCCGTGGAATCGCATGACGCCTGACAGCCCAAAGTGGGAACAGCATCAGGAACTGTTTTGCAAACTCCTCAAGCAGTTCCGAAAATTCATTAGGAAGCTCAAAGAGTACAAACCACAGGTTGCCTTCGAACTCCCTAAGGATTGCGACTATTGGAAGTGGGACCATGTTCAGCATATGGTTAATGATTTTGGACTTGAGTTCTACCGTTGCGATGGTTGCATGTTGGGGATTACGAATTACCAAGGATTACCACTAAGGAAAGCTTGGACCATTGCGTCGTCGATTCCATTGCAGCGGCTGGCAGCGCACAAGTGTGATCGCAGTCATGTTCATGGCGAGTCTAGAGGCCAGGACCTTAAGGACAGTGAGAACTATTCACATGCCATGACTGATTGTATCCACATTGATTGGAAAAGCTTTTGCGATAGGCGTTCTAACTATGCAGCTTGTGCACAACAACAATTTTCGTGTGACCGCAAACACGTTTGCACTCGCAAAGCTGAACAAACTAACGCATTAGCTGCCTGCTGCATTCTCGCGGCAGAGTTCTGCGCGCCGGACATGGAAGCCACCAACGCTGGAATCGTTGCTCCGACGGAGGTCCTGCGCCAGTGGTGGGATCGCCGGTTATGGGAGACTTCATTGTCTTCCGAATACCGCACCATGGCGCCTTTCCAGGAGGATGAAGCCAGCGTGAATAACTTTTACAAGTATTTGCCGCGGCCACTGGCATGCGAATATGCCCTCAGTGACGTCAGGGAGGCTGGTTTGGTGGCCAAAATCGGAAAGCTCACCGATCAAGGTTTGGCCATGCTCCAGCCCGAGTCTACTCGAGGCCGTTTGCGCTACCTTGTCATCGTCGCAGACTCTACAACTACGTTCCTCACTGAAGGAAATTGGAAGACAGATCTGCTGGCAGACATCAAGGCCAACCGCGGCAATGCCTTCCCACATCATCTTGGCGTTGAGTACATTCCTACATGGGGTGCGAATCTCACGCGGCTCGTAGAGCTCGCCGTGGGAAAAGTCACCCAACTGGAGCGTGAAACTGGCGCCAGTGGTCAGGTGAGCATTGACCTCATGATGATCTGGAACGGGAACGAGTTCGTCGGCGAAAGAGGTCTGTTTTTGGACCCAGGCTTCAAGAGCAAGACGGAGTGGCTTCGTGGTTACCCGCACATGGCAAAGGGGAGCTGGGAGTTCATTGGACCAAAGGTTCTCCGGGAGATAGGCAAGTTGGCGGATCTACAGTCACGGGCGTCAGTGGGTACTGTGCTGCTCACGTCTGCGACCGACGCTGCCAGCTACTGCCTCCCGCGCGACTGGGGTACCATCATGGCGGATTTGCTCGACTATGCCGCCCAACTTGGGCTGGCCGTCAAGCATTTCAATACGCCTGCAAGCCAGATCCGCAAGTTCGATCACTTTCACTTCCAGGAGGACAGCGCCTATCGTTTGCAGCTGTTGAGGTGGTTGGGTTTTACCGCCAGGATTATGGTCCTTCGTCACCAATGCTCCTTCTTCAAGGAAGCCGACATCGACCTGATCCTGCAAAACTACGGCCACGTCTCAAAGCCTAACGTCAAGTTCGCTGTGGACGTGCAGGTGGAGGAGAAGCTCCTGAATCACTTCCGTAAAGGAAGAGTAGCGCCCACATATCAGCCGCTTGTCGAGGCTGACCCGTGGGACGACATCTACTTCCAAGGACCCCAGGAGCAGTTCCCCGACACCGCGCCGAACCACTTTGTCCACCGGGACTTCAAGGACCACGTTCACCTGGGAGATGGGGAATATGTTACCCGCGAGGACTACGACGAGATGATCAAGAAGAGCGAGGAAAATGCCCCCCGTCCAGGGGAGGCCGTCGTTGTTCCGTCATCGTCGTCAACGGCGCGGGAGACTAAGGAGAAACTTTTGGCCAGGGGGGAGGTCTACAGTCGTCAGCGGACCGACCCTGAGTCCAGTGCCCCCAAACGGGCAAAGAAGGGCCCACACGAGGCTGACTACGACGAGCCCATCAAGTCCGGCTACTACACAACCGATGACGATTGGTGCCTCGTCGACATGCTGGGCCTCGATTGGGACGCAATCCATTTATGCCCACCGGAAGGTGAGGCCGAGTGGGTTGACATCCTTCAGGACGAGATGCCGAACTTCAAGTATGTCAACATTCCCCAGCATCACAAGACTGCCTTGTCCGGCATTGTTCGTGGCAAGATCGTCCCGGGCCTGCAGGGCGATGGATTGTGGTGCTCTACGAGGAGGATTCTCGAGGCCTGGAACAAGAAGACGAACAAGGATTATGGCCTCGGGATGCTCCTCACCGTCGTCAAGAACGACAATCGCAGCAGGTTCCAGCTGCGAATCGACCGCAACCACCCCCTCGCCGAGTACTACGGCCTAGGAGGGTACCCTACCCTTATTAGGGCGAACCAAGGCATCTCCAAGGATGCTATGAAAGGGGTGCCCGACTCGATCCTTGCTGAGGCCTGGTTCAGCATGATCCCAGAAGCAGAAATGGATGTGCATTCTGCCACCTGGGAAGGTCGGCCGGTTTTGCCCCTGGAGAAGATTCCACGCAGGCTCTACCACCGCACCTACAAGGATCGAGCCTTTGCCATCTTGGACTCCTGCTTTATCCCCGGGCACCACACCGCGAATGCCTTTGTGTATTTTGCCGACCGGGAGGTAGGGCCGGGAGAAAACGTCCCTGGCGTGAGGAGCGATCGTCCCGTCGAGATCGTCATCAACACCATGGAGGCCCTCAGTCAGGGCGCCGGACTGTTTTACTCCCGATCAGACGGCGTCCTCTGCCGAGAGGCTATCTCCGGGTCCACGGTCCTTTATATTCGTGACACAAGGACCGATGAAATTTTGTGGTCCGCCACGGATGGGCCCGAAGGACGGGAGGAGGAAGAGAATGCCCCTCAGGTAGAGGAGGCCGAATCTTCCGGAAGCATGGTTGTTGAAGCCGTGGGACCTCTCCAAGAAGCACAAGAGGAGCCTGATGTCGAGCATGAAGAAGCCCCGTTGGTCAAGGAGGAGTTCGATGTTCCCATCCTTGAGGAGGTCGAGAGCACCGTTCCTGAACTTCCACATCTACGCGTTCGCTTCAACACTGACGCCGATGTCATCGAGGTGTCACCTTCAGGAAGGAACCGTTTGACTGAAGGTCAGTTGCAAGTGGTCCCTGATGAAGGAATGGCTACCCGTTCTACGGCACCGGCAACCCAGGCGCCGCGTCCTGGATGGAACAGGGGAATCACGCAGGTTCAGTGCGTCAGTTGTGGCAAGCTCCGTCTCGAAGGTCAGCACAAGTGCTTCCACTGTGGCTACTACGTCACCCGTGGGGCCACCCAGAGCGCCTTCAGAATGTGGATGGCGCGTGAGCGCTCCCATGTCTTGGACGCCCTGGCGGAGCAGTTTGGGAAGGGCCTTTGGGAGTTGGATGCCGCGAAGATTCGCCAGGCCGCTGGAACGCACGATTTGAGGGGACAGCAGAGCGTAGATGGCCGAGCTATCATGTTAGCACGCCAGAATCTCAAAGGCTTCATGAAGCACGGCTACACGTCGATGGTAGACAAGTTCGACCAGGACGACACCTACGCGATCCACGCTATCAAGGGCGGCTGGACGAGAAGGCGGCTCACTATTCAGGACTGCGTGGCATGCGCTTATCTTCCCAATCAAGGTCGTTCCCGCGAACAACGTGAGTTGGGCTACGGCTCCAACAAAGCCTGGGAGAACAAAAAGGTCAATCATGAGGGACTGGCTCGCATGGTGTTCTTCGACAAGAATGCCGACGATCTCGTCCTGGCCGGCCTCATTGACGACCCCAACCTCGAACCTATGGGCTACGCTTGGCTCGGCAACTTCATGGGCGTGAAGGAATTCGCCCGGACCATCCGCGTCACCCGTGCGGTTTCCCACATCCTCACCTTTACGGAGGGCATCATTGGCATCCCGGACTTCGATGAGGAAGAGCATCTGGCAGTCTTTTTGGCCGAGATCCTCTCTGAGAATTATGGTGGGGCAAAGGAGACGTGCCGAAGGATGAAGGAATCGGCAGAAGCGTCCCGGGCCGCTCAGGCGCGGGCGGATGCAAGAAGGACATCGCAAAATGCCCCCCGTTTTGGGGAGGCCGATCGTGACACGAATCGTGGCTGGTCGTGGAGCGACAACTCTTGGTCGCAGGGCGACTGGCATTCCTCAAGTTCCTGGCGTGATCGCCAGTGGCAGGATCAAGGATCCTGGTGGAGCTCAGGGAGTCGCACTACGGAGCACTCCCGTGGACCTTGGCGCTACGACCATCGAGATCGCAGCTGGTGAGTCCTGAGTTCCGCAATTCTGCTGGAGTAGCTTAGCATCTTGACCGTGACGCTCTGTTTTCCTTTCTTTTGAGGTCGGTGCTGAGTGAACCACTGTTTTGCACGAGCCACCTTTGTATCCCCGCCAGCGTTTCAAATTTCTGAAGCTGGTGCGCGGTGATCTGTGGCGTTGAACCTGAATTAAAACTCGGGTGAGCGCACTTTGAACATACAGTAGAGGAGCAAAACGCAGCACGTAGTGCTTGCCGTGGATTCGTTGACTGCGTTTCAGCATTCTCACGCTTCAACGAGGGGGGTGTATTTTATATCTGTGCATTCCCTCCACTTTTGCTTCCATGTATGTTGCACTTACCTGTGACGCTCAAGCCCTCTGAGTAAAAAGGTTAGGCGCGCCCCTGCTCATGGCTTAACGGATAACAACTGGTGGATTTCCCAAACTATAGGGCTTACTTAATTAGGTTGGGATGTTTGCCCTGATACTAACAGGAAATATAGTACCTCCCCCCTACTCTCATCCCTACGAAGGACTGTTAGCATAAGGGGGAACATCCCTTTGGGCCTTCAGCCCTCAAAGCCCAACAGTAAACATGAAGCAGTTCGACATACCAGCGAAGCCTTTTGCACTAGAGGCCTTCTTACACTGAAATATAGTGCCATAAGGGGAATTCTATTCGTAATTATTCAATTTTTACGACCCCTAGATTAGACCTTCTATCCGCAGAGGCTCGAAGCAACAGCCTTAGAGCCTCAGAAATGGCCCAGATTCGCCGCTCCGCTAACCGAACCGCGCCGCGCATACTGTGGTGTCTCCTGTGGGCATGGCAGGTCTCTCGGATCGCACGAAGAAATCAAGCCATAAAGACACAAGCAGAAATTGTGCTATGTCAAGGAGGATCATACGCGATATTCTCCCTACACCAAGACTTGTGCCAAGGTGTTGAGTTGTCTCAGGTAGAGACTCCATTCAATCCTAACACAACCCTGAAACCCTAAAACCCTAAACCCCTAAACCCTAAACCCCCTAAAACAAACCCTCTAACCCCTTTCGCTCGCTAGACAAGCCAAAATTTGCCATGGAACTTGTCGAACATAATTTCTAAAAAATAATAATTTCATTTAAAAAATCGTGGAAAGTGAATCCTACAACTGGAGTTTTGCAGTTGTATAGCATACTTTCCAAAATTTTGGTGAAACCCTGAACCCGAAACCCTAAACCCTAAGCCCTAAGCCCTAAGCCCTAAGCCCTAAGCTCTAAACCCTAAACCCTAAACCCTAAACCCTAAACCCTAAACCCTAAACCCTAAACCCTAAACCCTAAACCCTAAACCCAAACCCTGAACCCTAAACCCTAAACCCCTCAGCTCAAGCTCCAGGTGGCGGCACACCCAGGCCCGAGCTGCGCAAGTGAGCACGCGGCCCTTATCCAAAGCCACATGACGAAAGGAAACAGGACGGAAGGCCCGGGAGTGCTAGGTGGGTTCCTACTTGGGGGTTTAGGGTTTAGGGTTTAGGGTTTAGGGTTTAGGGTTTAGGGTACTTCATAACCCAATCATAATTGTACTTGTAACCCAGTAATAAGCATATTAGGGCACTTACGGGGCTTTTTTACTGGGTTATACGTACAGTTTTCATTGAGTTACTAGGTACCATGAACCGCCAAGTACTTGGGGTTGTTCGTAAGGGTAGTTTCATGGTCCTTTCGTTTGGGCCCTTAAAAGGGTAGCCCTTGTATACCCCTTAAACTTATCCAGGTAGGCCCTTGGGACATTTTACATTTTCCCTTCTTGCGTTTATGTTCAGGAATATTTTTCAGAGGGTTTTAAGGGCCATCCTAGTTGTATACCCTATACAATTAAGGGCCCTTACATCAGAATTTGAACCCTTTCAAAGGGGGTAAGGGACCGTATGAAGGGCCCATGAAACTACCCGTAGATTGTTTATGGGGTTTAGGGCTTAGGGTGGGCGATTGCTCAAGTGCTGATGCGAAAAGGCTTTTAGCATGCCCTTTCTGCAAAAAGGAGTTGAGGATGCCACTAAACCTTAAACCCTAAACCCTAAACCCTAAACCCTAAACCCTAAACCCTAAACCCTAAACCCTAAACCCTAAACCCTAAACCCTAAACCCGAAACCCTAAACCCTAAACCCTAAACCCTAAACCCAAACCCCGAATATCTTATGGCCACATTTTCTCACACACCGTCGCTTAGTCACGCTGTTACCAGTTGGCCAGGAATCCTTGGATGAAAGCAGAGCTTGGCGTACTTCTTGCTCAGCGGATTTCAGATGTTGGTGCCGGCAACTAGATGTCACTAAATGTCCACGCAAAGGTAGGAGTCGGGGGGAGTCGACCTCTCGTCGTCAGAATTCTTCTGTTTCCCCACTTAGGCCAATGAACTGGTTCAAAAAAGGGTTTCGGGTGTAGGCTAGCCTCAGGAATCCCAGCAAGCATGTCCGAGTCTGGGTTTTAGCCTCCGCAGTCCTGGGCACGGTTTAGGGTTTAGTAGGGTTTAGGGTTTAGGGGTTTAGGGTTTAGGGTTTAGGGTTTACTTGGAGGTCCATGGTACACAGGAACCCAATTATAACTGCACTTATATCCCAATTACAAACACATTAGGGCACTTAAGGGCTTATAAGTGGGCTACCTTCCATGAACCGTCAGTAGGTTCGACAGGGCCCCGAAGAGGAAGTGTTAAAAACAACTTCAGGAAGGGAGTTCCCGGGTTGGGGTGCCTTACAGGGCTTGGCAACAGCTACGCAAAGCAACACCGGGTTCCATCAGGGACACAAAAGGCTGTTTTGGGTTTTTGCTTCAAATGCTTCCCCTCCCCTCCCTCCACCCATTGCTTTTTTGGACAGGTGCTAGTGCTCGCCGCGATGAATGCAGCCCTGACACCACACCTCCGGCCCCTGGTCTGTGCTTGGGAAAGCTGTCTACTTGGGCTCCTGAAGGCAACAAACCCTTACTTAGCCAATAGTTGAACTTCAATCAAACTTTTTGGGTTTCCTTACTTAGTAGGAAAAATAAGGTTGAACATCTTTTTCTGCTTGGTTATTGGAGAAGTAAGCATCCGGGGGCCTGACGTCCCCTCCCCCAGGCCTGAACACATCTTTGGCGGAAGATCCGTGCAGCCAAGGTCATCACCGTTATTGGGGAGACGCCGGGGGTGCATTGTTTGGTCGGGATTTTTTGGGTTGGTTGCTTCCTCAGCCAGTAGTTGAGAACTTTAATCTTTTTGGGTATCCTTATTTACTAGGAATATGAAAGTTTTACTGGAGAAGTAAGGTTGATGCTGATTTGTTTATAATCTCTAGGGAGTAACCCTAAACCCTAAACCCTAAACCCTAAACCCTAAACCCTAAACCCTATAGGGTCTGGAAACCACGGCCGGCAGGAGACCGTCCTATCTACGAGTCCGGGAGCTTGCGCAGCTGGGCCCGTCATGGGCGAGTTTTCGGGCTCCCAGAAACATATACTAATAAAAAGGGTCTAGGGTTTAGGGTTTAGGGTTTAGGGTTTATGGTTTAGGGCTTCGGGTAGAATTGCTCGACTGGCGATTCGTAATTTAATTCTCTGGTGGGTTTTGGAGAACTCGCTAAACCCTGCCGTTCTCCGAGGACAGCTCTTCTGCCCCTTTAATGCCCTTGGCAACAGCAACAGACAACTGCGATGCGGACACTTCTATCACGATCGACTGCGACAATCCAGTGCCTCGGCGGATCACTTGGGGGATTGTTCGCTAATGGTATCTTCTCGCGTCATCAAAGTTGATTTGGAGACTGTTTGCGTTGTTCCCCTCGTGCTGTCTGGTGCTTTTGGTTCAACCCTAAGTCGTTCCGAAGCTGTGCTTGCCCCCAGTGAGAGTCGAAGCCCGATTGAGCGTCTTGTTGACTACCGATTTCGACGGGATTCCAAAACGGAATGCAGCAAACATCGCCGATCCCTTCAGGCCCCTGAACCCTAAACCCTAAACCCTAAATTTAAACCCTGAATTTAAACCCTAAATTTAAACCTAAACCCTAAACCCTAAGCCTTTCAACGCCTAAGCCTTTGAAATGGTACTGCGTATAAGGCCCGTCTTGAACCATGATAAAGATAATATGTTTCATCTTCCCTGTGGTGATCTAAGGCTTCCATATATAACCCCTAAGGAGAGTATAGTATAAGTGACCTCAAATCTCAAATCCCCTCAGTATGGTCACCTCCACCTCATGGTTTACATACTTGGAGGTTCATGTGTAGCTATAAGTAGGGAGCTATAAGAGGGTAGCTATAGTTCTGTTTTAACTGGTTACTTTCTTTAGGGTACTTATAACCCTACGTATAATAACTACCCATGAACCTTGAAGCAGGTTTTTCCTTTGCACGTAGATCCCTGGCCCCTCAAAAGCACAAAACTCTGAAGCTTGCATGGTAAACACGCGCTGGCTTCAGGGTCGCGAGTTGCGATTGAGCGGACGCCGCAAGGCCACCTTCCCCCTTGGCACCACGGTTGTGACCTGCGAAGCTACGGATTCAGCCGGGAATGTTGCATCAAGCAGCTTCAACGTGATCGTAGAGGACCACGAAGATCCAGCCGCTGGCCTGTCCTCGAGCAGATTGCTGTGTGTGTTAGTTTTGATGACAGCGCAAGGAACCAGAAACGGCTTAGCTTTGAGGGCACTCTGCACAGTGTAAGATGTCGGTCTTGCAGCCGAGGTCCTCACCGTTATCCCGGAGACGCAGGGTTCGGGGGTTCGGAGGTATGGTCTGCAGAGCTTAGGGCTGGGATTTCGGGTTCAGGGAGTTGCGCGGAAACGGTGACTGTGCGTTCACGTGACGTGTGTGTTCGGGTAGCTTGCGCTTCGGGGTTCTTGAGGGTGCCGTGGACCGGTGAAAAGAAGATATGCTTCACAGCTCGAAGATGCTGGTGGCTTTCGGGATGCATGGTTCGATGTTCAGGTTTGCGCCTGTAATGGAGTCCCTTCCATCAAACATCGCGGCCAGGACATCACCCTGTCCG